TTTAAATTTCCTTCTAACGACAAAGAGGTATTTTATGATACGTCAAAGGAAATTACCAATATGCAAACGATCTACAAAGTAAAGACATCTTATACCGCCAATTTTAACATACAAAGCAAACTTTCTACATTTTTAAGCTCCACATTCACTAAAGCGACACAGGAATATATATAATTTTCCCTTTAAATATAATTGTTTTACTGAAAGTAACACCTAAAGTAATTTATAGAAAACTTCAAAAATTTTAGTAGTACTTTAATTTAATAGCTCGTGACAAAAGTATGCAAGAGCTTTCAACAGCTTGATTTTCCAGTATGTTAAACTCCTAAAAACTGTTGATAGCGAATAATAATATTATTCTTACTATTAATAGTTCTTGCTTAATTCAAATTCGTGTTTATTTGGTATAAATATCAGCTTAAATTATGACATATTTTCAAGTAATTAGTTATACGAGTGTTGACTGTATAGATACATTGCTGAAATTCAAATCAGTGTCAACACACACATAATTCGTGGTCAATGTGCAGTGCATGCCGGCCGACTTCATCGTCACATGTACCAATCATAAACAAGTCGCATAGCACTCGGTTTCTGCATTCAGTTAAGCACGTCTCAAACTTCAAAACGTCACTAAAATAGGTTTTCGTTGCTTTTTTTAGTTTCTTTTAATGATCAGTTAGCAGTTCGATAAAAACTAGGACTTTTTGCCTTATGAAAAGTAGAAAACTTAAGTTATTGAGAGTAATCACTTGAGATTTTGTGCTTTTCTCAATTCAGAAACGGGCCGTAAATCTATAGAGTGGATATTTTCTCGGTAAAAGTATTTTTATGAATGAATGCTTATTGTCGTAAAATAAATTACACCGTTACCTGACAAAATTTAGACGTAATTTAAGACGTAAATTATCCTTTATATAATCTATGCATAGTATAAAACAAAACCGCTTCCCACTGTCCATTTGCTGAGATTTTTTATACTTCACAACGGATTCAATGTGGTTTTCAACAATGCACAAAGTGGTTCAAAAGGAAAGTAAATACTTTCCTGTACTTTACAGGACCACGCGGGCAAAGCTAGTTGCATACAAACCATACGTGTCTGATTGTTTTGTTATTGAAATCCAATTTAAAGAAAATAAAGCAAAGAATAGAAAAAAGTTTAAGTTCTCAGTCAGCCGCAACAGATCTGAACAGAACAGAGATTCAGATTGCACAGTTATTCCGTATCTTTGAAATCAATTATAATAAAGGACAGATATAAAGATATATAAAATTGTGAATGGTAAACCTATTGTAATCTTTTCCACTACCTTACAAAGCATTAAAAATATGAGTTTTACCAGATAACTAACCGATATCCTCACATCCAAGCGCAAACAAAACGTCAGGTCCTGGTTCATCAGGCCACACAAAACTGCAAAAGCCAGAGCTTTTCGACTCTAAATCGATTTTACAAGTTTGTTGAACATTCAAAAAATCAACAGAAGAATTTGACAATTATGGTAAACCTTGGGGTGCTGTTGTGTTTACAATATTCCATTCTTCAGTAAATAGTGAAAGCTGGTCGGTGTGTGATAGAAGTGCGTCTCGAGCAAGGAGTTCGAGGTGGTTCTCGAGCGCTAGCTGGTCGTGCAGTAGACGCTCGACGGTTGCGTTCGTTGTTGCGACGTACTATATCGTCCTCATCGGTAAATACTTGCTTACGGCGAGGAGACAGCATACGAGGCGTGCGGGGGACGCGAGCAGACCGGCAGCGCGATAACGGACGATACTCTTCATACAATTCCTCTGTATCGTAATACTGCTCCTGGTGAAATAGTAAACTCTGTATTAAAGTATTTCTATCCATACTTATATTATTAATTTACTTTGGCAGTAACTGTTGTGAGTCTATTACGTTTTCACGCCTAAACTACTGAACCAATTTTAACGAAGTTTGATACAAAGTTAGAGTGGATTATATTAACAGGATTTTTTTTTCGGAAAAATAGTTCGAGCTTTTTCACGGGCGGTAAGCTAGTAGTTAATTGCAAATTTGTGTATTGTATTTGAAACCGATTCAATTCCTGACGTTATGTAGAAAGGTGATTTGTAATAAAATAGAATATGTATTCATTCAAGCTATCCGTAACACAATAGCTTAGAATTATACACTTTGATTTTAGCGCGTGTGATTTATTTGTAATTCTTACCTGTACCTATCTGTTAAAAAATAGCAATAGCAGTACGATAAATAAACTTAAATATAATGCCTCGTAATTACCATTTACCGTTCCATTTTGTTGATGTAATAGTCTTAGAAAATTAAGGTTAAATCATTTTAAATGGTAAAAATTGTTATGGTCTAGTCTAGACAAGCTGACAACTAATAGGCGGCCTTCATTGTCCCGCTTGCAATTTCAATTAATCAATTTAATTACTTTATAAGACGATCAATATTTATTTATTTACTTTAATAGAAACCATAAAGTGGCCTTGACATATATATGTCTAACTACGATAGATATATAGCCGAACGAAGTCAATTTTACTAACCACTTATAAGACATAGTAAAACGTCGTCGGGTTATTACAAAATGTCAAATTGCCACAGTTAATTTTGAACTCTAATTGTAAGTGGTAAGAGTTAAAAGCGATTGGAAATATTTGTCAGTCATATGTATCATTAAACAAGCCCCTAAGTATCATATACCTGTCTAAACAGATAGATCAAACTCAACTCAAATAGTACACATGAATTTTTATAAGAATTAGGTGAACTTTATATATATATATACCTATTTTAAATCATGCCAATTGTAGTTACATCCATTTGAAGACGGGTCTAATCGCTAGCTCTAAATTTTTATTTCAATAATATTAATTCTAATTCGACATCATGCTAATGAAACTTTCTTAACGACTGAATAATTATTATAATATTCTTTTATTTATTATCCATCTGCAACCTACCGCCAATGAGCCCGCGTGATTGCTACTTATACTTCTTCAAAGACCTCAAATAACAATAACATTATGATGGTGATTAATTATATCTTAAATTAATTATTTAAAAAAGCGAAACTTACCCAATTTGTCGGTCATATTTTCACTATGTGCATGATGGGTGCAAAGTGGTTGTCTGTAAATATTTTTGCTACACTCAATATGCAATTACAATATATAACAAACTCATATAGCTGAGATTAATTAAAAAAAAAGTAAATTTAATACAACTATACGCATTTGTTATACATATAAAATCACCCTTGTGTGATATTACAGTGAATTCTAAAAGTATAAAATATTTACACTAATTTAAAATGAAACAATTAGAAATGGTGTTATATTATATTAACGTTTACTAAATTACAATAATACGTCAATCGTTTGCGTTCACAAAATATTTTATTAAACAGTAAATAAAGTAATTTAAAAGATTTCAAAAATCACTTCAACTACGTAGACCGGTATCTTATTAAATAGCGACATAAATAAAAGAAAAGATAATATCTAAGTTCAAAACATTTCAAGTTTTCAATTGTTAAACATAAAAATAGAGATACTACTAAAAACAAATAGCAAAACATTTTTAGTCGAAAGCCATTGCAATTAAATTTTGTGATTCAAAGCGTTTTAACATTGAATTGATACGCGCTATCTAAACCTATATACTTATTACGTATATTAAAATGTAGTATAATATAAACATTTATTAATCTAATTCAATCTGGTCAGTCGTCTTGAACTCACGCATCGTTCTAGTCACAGCAAACATATAAAAATACAAAACATTACCTCCGTCAAGAGAGCGCAGAAAAATAATTAGATTCACTTTGCACATAGAATATAATTTAATTTACTGAATTTTAATAACTCTACGTACAGCACCAGTACGTATTTCATATAGGGAGAGATATTCTTTTGTTTATGAATATAACATAAACGATGACAGGGCTATTAAGATTTTAAAAAGTTTGTCTAAAGTATTGAATTATGTGACATTTCGTAAATCCAGCGCTGTTGCTTATGATATTAGCTATTTAGTCCTGCGAGGTTGCTGGTTATTTATAAAAGATTCTTCAAGACAAATTCAACAATTTTTTTTTATTATATTCTATTTTGTTGTATAAGTTGAAAAATATGCGAGCTCCTTTCAGGGTCAGGTCAGACTTATATATCGATATTTAATATCATTATTTATGCGCACTCTTACATAATCTGAATTCTAATAGCATTGAAAAACCAAGGATTCATTAAACAGGTAATGACGTCCAGAATACTGCACTATTTTAATTCCTAAACTTTCACTTTGCTGTGCCAAGAACTTTTCAAACATCAATATATCTGAAACACCATCCCAAATTATAAAAAATCCAATTGTAGTGAAATAATAACCATAAAAATTATAACAATGTAAATCGGTTAATTAAATATTGCTAAATAATAATTTACAAAGGTTAAATGAGTATCACTTTCAAATACCAAATTGTTGAAATTGATGAAAAACCACAAAGTGCTAGTGCTTAATAATATACAATAAAACAAGTGCCTAAGGATATTTCATGTAAAATATTGCAAAAGTTATATTATTTATAGTAACGGTATTCATCAAAAATGTAGATATTATGTATCAGTTGCATGATATATGAAGTTTAACTGCTAGTTAAAAATGTATTGGCACTCATGACATTTTTTTACCATTTGTAACAAAAAAAAAGATTAAATCAAATCAACTCACATCCATCACAATTCAGTACAACCAATTTTTTTCAGTAATTAAACTTGAACAATCAAAGGAATTCGTTACATATTGTCTTGGGGATATGCTAAATCATTGACATCGATTTTTTTTTGTAACAATAATAACATCGTTTCAAATAATTTCATAAATGATCACTGTGTTCTAACATCGAATGAGAGTTAAAATTAAAATAATGATACAAAAATTGGACTTCTGTTTATAAAAAGTTAATATTCATCCGTGAAGTGAGAACCTGTATTCTCCCAACCTCTTCTTAACACGGCTGTTGATTCAAATTTTCATCAGATTTAGGTGTCTGCGTCACTGGAGGAAGTGGACTCTACGGCAGAATTGATTAAAATCAGTTAATTATTAATCACTTAAAATTATTCTACAACAAAATTAAAGAAAATCAAATAAAAACATAAGAAACGAAACAAAATCAAACAAAACACGTCGCAGTAAATGTGATTGTTAGTCGCAAGTGAAAAACGCAACAAGTGAAAACCAAACACCGTATTACCTATTCAATAAAAAGTGTATAAATAATCAGTCTGAAACAAGAATAATGAAACTGTTAAACCAAATGAACGAAAAACCTTCACCAAAAAGGACGTCAACGGAAATGTTAGGGCTCAATAGGAGTAAACTCTTAAAACCAATTATCGATATATCGCGAACTTTTTTAAGCTCTTAGGCATTAGAAATTTCGTTAGTTAGGACAAGGTAGCTGGCGTTAGCTTGATGATACCTTAAGGAACATTCGCAAGGGCTAGTCATCAAAGTGAATGACTGAATATTTATTATTCCTAGTTTCTCCGTTCTTTAGAGGGTCTGGGTTTCATATTATCATTAGGATCAATCAATCTGAAGTGATGGGTTCTTTCTGTGGATAAGCCTCCAGCAATGGAGAAATTAATAAGCTGATGATAATGAGACAAACAATCCACGATATATCAAATCTCGATTTTAGGAGTACAGGGTTGCCAATCATACTTTAATATTCATATAGTATTATACGCAGAGTATTTCTCCAAATTCTTCATTTTAAAATTTATAATCGCGTCCAGTATACACATATTAGTTTTTGATTCATGCGACAGTGTGTACTTAGTATCCGAACGTTTTTGTTTTATTTAGAATGTTTTAATTGCAATAAAAAAAAACACATTAAATGAAAGTTTTACAAAGTTAAAAAGGTTATATTAAGTTTTTAGTAAGTTTAGATATGATGTGTAAACACCCACAGTTACTCGATCAGGTCAAAATGGCTGAACGGATTTGCATGAAATTAGGGACATACATATCTATATTAGATATTCTTGAATAGCATGTAAGCTAATTTTTTATCCCGGAAAAATTTACGGTTTCTAGCTTATTTTGACTAATACTATATTTTGGTGAAGAAATGTTGGCAACCCTTAGTACAGAGCCAGAGACCAGCGTTGGCCTCACCTCTTGCCGCGAGAGCGAGCGGCCATCCGGCAGGGGTGACTGGCCAGCCACCTGCTTGATGTAGTCTTTGTCGTCAAATATTTTGATGTCACCGCCTCCTGGTTTGTGTTTTACGTTGTCCAACGATCCCACTTTACTTTGTGCTTTGAATTCCAATTTTTGATTTTCAATCTGTCCAGGAGATTCAATGTGCTAATATAGTAATAGAAATACATATGATACACACACATATCGTATAACTGAAAAAAGCTTTGCAGATATGTCAAAAAAAAATTTAAAGCATATAATTAAAGTAAATATAACTTGTATATATTTATTAAGCAAAAATCTGTTTTTGTTCCTCACATTTCTTATCTTTACTTAAAGTTCTTCAAAAGACAAAATTGACGAAGTTGTATTAAAATTTCTAGTAATACATTAAGCGTTTTTAACGATTAAGTCTAATTGAAAATATATCTGTAGAACTTTTTTTTTGTTAATAGCATACACTAAGGCATGCTTAACTCTGTGTCTTATATATACTTATATATAAACTACATATTAGACTGTAAAGAAATGCGTTACACACATAAATATACTTATTTAACACGAATATGAGTGCCAAGGATAGCATAAATATTGGGTATATTTTTTGATAGTAATGTCATGTGTGCTTGTTCCATCAAAAGGTTATGCATATATAATCAAATATTGATTTTCATAGCGTGCACGTCGACAATATTCAGGTGAATCGTGTGTATTGTTACATATCATGACGCTTGCGGCTATCGAGTTCATCAGCCCTTCGTATAACCAATCCGATGTCTGGCAGCATTCATATTTTGAAATTCTATATTTGAAAAACACATTCCTCTCTTCGTACAACAAAACATATTGTAGTGACGTAACATTCCCTAATATTTATAGTGTGTCATACATTCCCGTTTAAACACTTCCAAAGCCGAACAGCGTGGGAAAACAGCCGCAACAACGAAATCAATCTCTGTCTCATATCGAATAAGTAATCGTCGTCATCCGTCAAGGGATTTACCAAACTGACCTTTCTCCATAAAGAATGGAAAGCAAAGTGTTTATGCGATGCTCTCCACCTTGGCAACGCCCATTTTACATACTAAAAACAACAACGTTACTTTAAACTAACCGATAATTCCGAGATATCCATAGGAAGAAATATCCTTTCTTCTAAAATAACACAAAGTAAAGTAGTGCAAGTGATAAGACACAAAAAAGTGATATTTAAAAATTATTTGTTACTCACTGCTCTTGTTCCAATATACGCAACTGTCGACTGAAGAATAATAAATTGTTATTTATGCATATATTTGCTATGTTATTTATGCTATGATATCTACCTACACTTATCTACATAGCATATTCTTTGCAATTGAGTGCTATATGTTATCCTATGCATTGACTTATATCTCGATACTAAATACTGAAGCTGGTAAGATAAATCTACATGTGAATGTACTCACTAACATTTTTCAATACCTAGCGTTTTTGACTGGAAAAAGAAATGATTGATGGTCCATGTAAGTATATAAATGTGATCATTTACCTTTACGGTTCCTCCACCTGGCTTGTGAGTAATGTTAGCTGTAGATGCTACTTTTGGCTTCGCTTTTTCTTTAAAGTCTAGTTTGACTGTTTCAATCTTCTTGTCTCCACCGCCAGGCTTGTATGCAGCGTTTTGCAAGGATCCAATCTTTGATTTCGCATTCCATTCTAGTTTTGTAGTAGTTATCTGAAAATTTGTTTTATGTTTAAAAGTTGTTCTTACCCATGGCCCATGGCAAGGAAGTTTGAAATTTTTTTTTCATAGTATAAAGTAGCATTTGCCATTCTTCAGCAACCCAACTCTTAAATATTAGATTGATCCCAACTATTTTATCGAGATTAACATTCTTATAAATATTGTTGAACAAAATATTAACATACTATTAGTTTAGTGTACATATTGTACCATCATACCAAAGGACATAACCTAAAAGATTAAAACCCCTCAAATAAAAAAAATACAACTCTAAATTTATAAGAATTATGTACGAACTCCAGTACTTTCCAGTATGCATTTTTTAAGATTCTTTATTCAAATAATAATAATAACTACCTATTTGGACGCGTTAAATAAAATACCTTCTTAGAGCCACCACTAGGCATGTAGTTTTCATTTTTCGCAGCAATCTTAGGTGTGACGTTATTGAAATCGATCTTTCTGTTTTCGATTCGCACTTTGCCGCCACCTGGTTTGTAGGTGGCATTGTCCAAAGAACCGATCTTTGACTTCACAGCTTTGATGTTTGGAGATGGCGCATTACCGACTTGGACCTTATTCATCGGCAGTTCTGAAAATAATGATTATAATTGTTATTTTATAAAGACTATTTGAGGAGTTCGATGATCAGTCATACCTTCGATTTGCGATTGCAGAAGTTAAGCAATGTTCACAAAGGCTGCTAATCAGAAGAGTGATCAAAAATGTATTTTATTCTAAATGATCCTGTTTCGAAAGGCACGTTAAGCCGTAGGCTTGTCATTAGATTAGGCCCACAATTACAAAAAAAGCCAACGCTGTATTTAGATATGCGTTACGTAAGCAGCTACCGATCAATAATATACCTATTTATTAATAGAAATGCTAGTTTAGGACAGAAATAACAATGATCATATATTTTTCAGACTGCGACAAAGAGACAATTTGAAACTTGTGTGCCATTTTATTTGTTAAAAGAATAATTTGAAGTGTCGAATGAAATACTTACATTTTTAGAGAAGTCTATAATTATTATTCGATGTAAAACTTTTAACTTTTAAGATGTTTAATTTCTATTTCTTTAGCCATTGCCTAAAATCTACCTATTATATAAATACCATAATTAATATACTAGAGTAGTATATAAAACTGTAAATATTGAAAACGTAACACAACGTATGATATAAATTGGAAACAGATTTAACTTTTAATTAAAAACTTAATAGAAAAAAATTATTACACAAACTCGTAAAAAACTGCAATTTATTAAATAGCTAAAAGAAATACCTGGATAAAGGCGATACCTGTAGTCAATTCACGCTGCCTCATCATCATCAGCCATGTTACGTCCCAACTGCAGGGGCTCAGGTGTTCCCTATGGATGGTTAAGGAGGATAGACCATGACCCTCCACGACTGATGATGCAGCACTGACCAATGACTTAACGTGCCTTCCGAAACACGGAGTCTTGAGATAACAATTTTGGTCACCCATCCCATGAACAAACCTTTCAAAAGTTGCTTAACAACAACGACCGCGGGCTGAGGCGCTTATCCATTACGCCACCGAGCTACTCACGCCACCGAGCTTGCTGTCTAGTTCAAAATAACTCAAGGCCGGATAGTACAATATTGCTTGTCATCAAATAAAGTTCCTATTCTAAAATAAACCAAACCTTTTAAAATAAAACGCGATATAAACTCACTCTTTTTGTCAATAGGGGTCGGATTTTCAGGAGTTTTCACTGTGGCACTTTTGCTTGATGATCGCGAAAGACTCTGTTTGAGACTACTGCTCGACTTCTCCTTCATTGGCAACTTGCTCGGAATTTTCTTATTCGGGGAACCAGGAGAACCGTTTACATCCTACGAGAAAATTTAATATCAGTATGATATATTATTACAGTTTAGTATTTAATCTTCGGTCTATGTATCACGGGGGCTGAGTGTCCTGGTGATTCGGCCACGGCTTCCCGAGTCTCATCTCCCGAGTTTACGGAGGAGTGTCTCACACACCCCCTGTTGCTTGCCAGATCACAGGGACCGTGCCAACGCATTTCTCCAAACGTTAAAAAAAGAGGTCTTCATTATTTCTGATTCTCCGTAAAGCAAAGGCTAAAAATGAGCTGTTATCTAATATTTTATATTTTATTTGCTACGATTAATATTCGCATGATTATAGAAATTGGATTATAAAACTTGAACATTATTAGTCATTTTATGACCTTTTAATTCTTATTTTATTTATTTGTTATATTAAAAAAATAATAGTATACTTCACTTCTCCACTATATAAATTTTAGTGTGCCTTTAATACTCCTCCGTTCATGCAATTTTTGTAAAAGGGACCCAAAAGTATTTCCTTCACGTATTACGATAATATTATAATAACATATAAACAAATCACTTACATTTCCTTGCGTAGATTCATCAACGCCACTATCATTATCCCCATCTGAAATAAAAAGGCTATATTATAATAATGTCCAAAAAAGTCACACATTACAAGAGCACTATTTTAATTTTACTTTAAGGCTTGGCTCACATTAATTTATAATGTTTGGTCTTTAAAATAATCATATTCGGTTAAAGAGTTATTGCTGTTGTATAATATAATAGGCAAAAGTTTTTTTTACGTTTCTACGTTGTTGTTACCTTTAGCTCGAGCTTTCGGTGCTGAAGCTGTCTTACGAGGAGTTGATTTCTTAGAATCAGATGGCGTGATTGATGTAATAAGTTCATTAGGTTTCTTTTGTACTGGTAACGGGGGTTTAGCTTCTGCTGCTGGTGATTTGGGCGTGGGTTTGTTAGATTTTATTTCTTTTACAGCAGATTCTGGTCTTATTTCTTTGCCTTCAATCTTTGGTGTTTTGGGACGCTGCGGCTCCGGGGTGTGAGATTTCTGTGACAATGCCGGACTTTGTGATGTTTTCGGTTCTGGAGAATCTTCGCTTCGTGTTAAAGATGGTGATCGATCAGACAAATCAACTTTATTTTGATTTTGGACAAGTTGGTTCCCGTTTTTAGTCGACATTATCACATTTTGTGAAACAACATCATCGTCATCGTCCATTTTCTTTTTTGGAGCTGTTAATGATCCTATAATGGAATCCGTCATTTTAGAACCCGATAAGCGGGATTCTGGTCGTTCAGGTACATCTTTATTATCAGTTGTTTTGATACTTTCTTGGGATCCACGTACACTTTCTTTACTCTCTATTTTAGCTTCTTGAATTAAGCCAAGAGCAGGGCTTTTACTCGTAAACTCTTCTATTTTTCCACCAAGAGCACTAATGGACTTTCTTCTATCATCTTCCATTTTAAGTGGACTTGGTGCTCCAGGCGCCGCAGCAATACTAAAACTTCTTCCTTTTGCCATGCTGGGCGTATCGATACCATTTTCTGATTTATTGACATTGTGATTGTCATTAGAAATGGATTGGTTATCCAGGGTGGCTGGTTTATTTTGGTAAGTATTAATTTGATCCAGGCCCTTTAGAGAGCCTTGAGACGGTTGTCTAGGTATTTGGACGGTAGATGGTCCTGTGTTGTTTACTTCGTTTCTAGGAGCTCCGTTTCCTTGCTGCGCTATAGGAGGTCTTCCTGCTTCAGGTGTAGTGGCACTACCAAACTGAGATGGTTGCCTTGGACCGAATTGTAAATTATTCGGAGGTGGTATTCTTTGTGGAGGTTGCCCTGACGTGGGAGATTGTATAGGTCGTGGTCCTTGTGGTGCAATCGACTGCGGTCCAAACGGGCGCAATGGAGGCGGTCTTATCTGCTGACTACCAGGTGGAGCTGAAGTTAAAGGAGCTCGCGGTACTGGTGTACCGGGTCGTGGGCCAAATTGAGGTGGTGCTGTCACAGGACCTCCAGGTTGAAACTGTGGCCGCGGTTGTCCTTGAGGCGGACCAGTTGGCCGCGGTGGTTGTTGAAAAGATGACCTCGAGTCAACTCTGTTTAATAGTGGGCGAGGTTGTGTCGCTCCTGGTGCTTCTGAACTAAGTTGATTTGTGATCGGGGGACGAGCCTCAACCGGCGCCTAGCAAGTAAATAACAAAATTAGTAACCCAAAAATTTACAAAGATTTTTTTCGTAGAAACTTATAAATATATTAATTTAAAAATCGATAATGTGCTCTCATGTTGAGTGTTAAATTATTGATATTCGCAACTATGCCTATATATATTTTGATGCGAAATATTTGAAATTTTAGCAAATACACGAAATAGGAGTGATTGAACACGACATTGTAACGTGGGGCGGCGACGACCGCGCTGTCTCCGCCCCCGCACTCGACCCAAAACAAACCCGCATCAAATCTTTCTAAAGAAAATGACATTGAAAGTAAAATATGAGGAGAGTGCATGCAGAAAAACAGGTTCATAACCCAAAAATAATATTTATTACAATAAAATCTGTCAATCATTCTGTTCATGTTACACATGCCCATTTATATTTAAATCATGACGTTATCTTGGTTTATTTTGGTTGTTCGGGTATCTAGTCTCAAATTTGATCATCACTGTAATAAAAAAATTATAACATTGTAGGTCTTAATAAATGCTTCATCATAATGACGTTTCAAAAATTAAAATTTACATCAAACAAAAGGTTTACGTGAATTCCCAAAAAAGTGACTCTAGAATCCCGCGTCCGCCCTTGTTCAGAAGTATTACATACAGACATGATTTGTCACGAACTCGGCCACTAGGTCAACGGTCTATTGGTAGATAAAAAAGCTTCTTCGAACAGCAAAGCTGTTCTCGATCAACTCATACCAACTTATTTAAACTATGATAGAAACAAGTTATATATTCACAAAATCTTGCGGAATAATATAGTAAACTAGGACGTGAATACAAAAAAATGATGTCATAATAAGTTGGTATTATGATTTTTTTTTTAATATGGATAAATAATTTGGATCTTTTTTACCAGAAAGAATATTTATGTTTTCATTAAGAGTTCTCGTTAGTCATATGTGCGGTAAGGTAACGTACGCATTCTACTTATCACGAATACGTAAACGATAAAAGAAATTTAAGACAAATGGCTAATTATTATGGACACGCAGGCGTCACATCGTGGAGTGCGACCGACTAACTCTCTAGCCTTGATTCCAGCCATAAGATACAGCATCTTAAGAAAGTTATGACGATACTTCGTTTCATATTACTATAATGTCATACTACCGTTTATTGCGTCCTAGGTTTCTGCATGCAAACTTTTTGTCTTTGATCTTCAACGTCATTTATTTTTACTATTCAATTTTTGTAACTCGATATTTGAGTATCCAATATGCTCTTTATGAATTCCGTGACGTGACAGTCCGTGAAAATTCGTCGAGTTAGAAACATTATACATACTTAATTTCGATAATAGTAATTTGTTGTAAACAAGTTTTAAAATCTATTATTAATTAACATTTATGTTACGTCAATTAAACGTTGAAAAATATGGAACCATCTTTTTAGACGACAACGTAATAATTAATTTTAATCAAGCTGAACAAATAATAATATAGTTGATTGACGTTTTTTCGTATATCGTCACATTTTATCGTATACACACATTAAACATATGGTTTTCTTTAAACGTAAATCATAAAACCTTGACTATAATTACTTTGACATAAAGTTAGGTGCATTACTAAGTTTAAAATAAACGTCAACGAATCAACGATTTACAACAAAAATAAATGTAACGTAAAACATAATTTGCGAAACAGAATAAAAAACAAAACAAAATCTAAATCCAATTACACAAAATTGCTTGTAACAAATATCGTGGGAGAATAACTAAAGATAATGAAATGTAAGCAATTTGGTGAAGTTGGTGAAAAACTAATTTCAGTACCTACAAATATTTATTAGATTGAATGTAATGGCGGACGAAAACGCCTTGTACTCAAACTTTGCAGAAAGTAACTTTTAACTTCTAATGGCCCAACCATTATAGTTATCGCGATGAGCAAGTGTTCCAACTGATTATTTAATAGCAGCAAAGTGTTTGCAAAGCAGTATTAGTTTAAACTACAAATGTTAAGAATTTTGGCACGCTCTTAATAATACCAACTAGACCTTAATTAAAAGTGTTTAAGCACAGTTCAAAGGCAGAATATAGATTTGGTAATACACAATACTATTTTTATTTGGAATAGCTTCCAATGTATAAGATATTCATTTATGGTGTCATATTTAGCGTTCATAAGGTATAGTTTAAAAAAAAATTATTAGATAAATAATATTTCATAGAATTAAATGTACCAATACATTGACAACGTAGTGTTAAAGACGCCAAAATATCATTACAAAATATGGATTTCTAGTATTAAGAACACTGATGCCATCTCTTGACTCGGAAAAAAAATGAAATTGTTACGATCCTAAACGAAATAACTACGTAAATGGGCATATAAGTAAACCTGCTTATGCTTTAATTTGATTGATAATAAACTTTTTAGTATAATTTGAATAATATTTTGAATTAATGCGCATCTAAAATTGCAAAAAACTAATACTTCCATTGATATAGTGCAATGTGCATAAAACCTGCTCTCGTGTTCATACGAATCACGAGGCTTACCCGATTAGGATTATTCGACTCCATACTTCAAGCTTATCAAACCTGTATATCTTCAGACTTTAAATAGAGGATATATCATAATTCTTCACACGACGAAGCGATCGATTATTCGCGATGTCTCCTTGAAACTATAAAAGATAATAAAACTCCTTATTAACTACGAAATTCTCTCGTAAAAACTATAAGTGTGGTGCCTTGCTTACGCTATAATGGTTAGAGATACAGTATATATGAAAATTTCCCTGCATTTATTATTTGATTATGTCTAAGTTTATAAGGCAATAATAGATTAATAGTTTAGAACTGGCGGCATAATAGGGATGACAACTGGGTATAAAAGATTTAGTCCGTCAGATAATAGAAAAATATTAATTACATTTTTTGCTCTGACATTTGAAAAATGTTCACGAACTTCACGCTACAACTATTTGACATATGATAGCGGTTGCGAACGCAACAACTTTTTTAAAGATATTGATTAAACGACATCATATTTAATTGGACGTTTATTAGAATTTTCCAAGTCGAAGCAAATATTACTTTAAGTTGAAGTTATTATTAAGTTTTTATTATGCGTCTTGATTATTCAAATCATCATTCATTCCGAAAGCGATTGCAACATTAAACATTACAAAATTCAAAAAACTTTATAATAATCGCTGTACCGCTTTAGATTTTGAAATAACACAATTAGCCCACGGGTTGCCTAGCTCAGATAGGGACCATCGCTGTTCTAAATCATTAATCTACATGTTGTCTGTCATATAAACCGTCTCACAATTAAATAACAGATGAGGGTATATTTTTCTTAACCGTACCTTAGACTATAACACAACTTGAGTGTCAAAGTGCCTATCTAAAACAAGGTAAAGCAAACAATCGTATGGTGTAACAAATTGACATTGATACTTTAAATTAACATAACTTATTACGCTAAAAGTGTTGCTTTAAATCTATATGTGTTATTTACATATTTTTTTAGTTTTAGTTACGAAACTACAGTGCTGCTATTTTCTAATATTTTTCTTCCTTTTTTCCTTAATATACTAAGTGAAAAGTTGCTGTAATGTTTGTAAGGGTTAATAGCCGTTTGAAATACAAAAATATAATCATAATCTTAGTAACTTGAAATAGATCAACAATTTTATTCTTTTTTTACGTCAGATTATCCAAATCAAGAAAATCCCCCTTATCATTCATTAATCTGTTTGTCTACGTAATTAATGTTTATCTACGTTATTTATATTTACATAACAAATTTTAATAAAAGATAAACGTACATAACTTATCAGAAATTAAATTTATAATAATCTTCAAGATTTAGATTATGTTTAATCCTTTTAATTAAAGTCTCGCTTTAGTTGAATTTTGTTTTCTGAATCGATATAATCAAATTGTCTATATGTATAATGAAATATAAATTGCTAAGAAATATTTTCAAGGCAAATATGATAAGCAGATTACCTACTTAATGATTATTATATTAATTATATAGTACTTTTTGTATGCAGATAACGTAGAGTTAAAGATACTTCTTTACCTATGCGTAGTATTGTTTGGAAGTTAAAAATTCTGCCGATTAAAATTGTTGTTTAGTTTTAAACGTTGTTTACATTTTTTTCGGTTTATATTTTATTTCTTACTTAAAAATAATATTACTTATATTCTTTTTTTATAAATAAATGATTTTACCTCTTAATTTATAATAATGAAATTTATTTAGAATACGAAAAAATATAAGCTAAAAGGTATCTATTATATTGGTCTTAGCGAAGGCATATCCGTGCCTCA